ACCTTTAATCTAACTCAATCCTTTAGCCTTTTGTTTTCCAGCCAAGTGTGTTAACCACAGGCACCACCCAGAGACTCTGAGTTACCAAGTTAGATATTGTCTTTTGACACTCAGCATCCCTTTACACTTCTCTCCTTGTTTCCTTTTGCGTTCTAAGGGACAGAAAGGTGAAAACCATACTACCTGACTCTTTGCAGGTGGAGTTCTGGATTAGGTCTAGTTTCTGCTAATGAAATGCACTAGAGATAGGAAGAGGGAAAGGCCATCTAGTTGAGAAACAGCCCAAGATTCCAGCAAGCTCATAGACATGTTGGCCGAGGCAGGACTCCTGTTAACACTGTGTGGCACCTTGAATTTACCTGATAAGGCTTTTCTATCCAAAGTCTTCTGAATTCCCATCAAGTGATTGGGTGGGACCGTACAATTAAGGTGTACAGGACTTTAAGGCTGGGATTAGATAGTTTTGCCATCCAGCTAGGTTTAAAAGGAGCCATCTCAGAAGCAGGAACAGACAACTCCAGGACTACCCAGAAGGAAGAATATGAGTGGAACTTGAGATCCCTGCCTAGAAAAGCGATGACAGCAGAGAGTATGGCAAAGGTGCTGACAGGGAGAGACAGAGCAGCTGCGGGCTCTAGGCCCAGGGACTGAGTAAAGCTGGTGCTTAAGGGCAGGAGACTGGCTTGAAGAATGTGCTATCTGGGCATCACAGATTGGCTAAAAGATGTTTTTGTAACATTTACTTGAGCAGGTCAGAGGCAAAGAGGTCATATGGCCGAGAAGCTGAAGACAAGAGAGAGGTGTATCCACAGTATGACAGACAAGAGGCGTTCCTGACTGGAGAACTGCTGTGTCCTGTGTTGGTTCGGATCTTGAATTGTTCCGTATTCCCTTCCCTAATAAACCCCATAATTGTGGCACTTGATATGAGATTAGTGACCCCAGATGTGAAACAGTGTGATGAGAGGAATGGTTGGGGTCAGAAGAATAGAGTAATGAACGTTGTAGGATGGAGGCACATATGACCTCCAATTCACAGGAATCAGCCTGGGGCTGATTTTGAACTTGGTTCTCTTTCCCCTTGTGAAGTCAGGGGGCGTCAGACTTGGCTCCCACATGGTTTAAGCACCTGGTCTCACCACCACTTTCATGGTGTTAACAGCCGAGGAAGCTACTGTCTAATCCAACATCCAGAGTCAGAAATGAAATCCAGGGACTTCTGATCCCATGACCATTAAGTCTCTTGAGGACAGTGAAGCCCCCACAGAGAAAATAAACAAAGGACATGCAATTGCCTAGTGACAGAGCTGCCTCCGCCCCAAGTCATGGATAAGACCATTGTTCTCCATTATGTCATGGACACCTTCATAACAGCATGCAGGCTCTTCTCCATACAAATGTGCCTGTCCAGTCCAGCGCTACCAGGAGCCAAGAATCCCAAAGTAGCAAGGTCCCCATCCCCTGTGGATGTAAACTAGTTTTGAAATAAGGGTCTAGTTTGTTATGGCAATGAAATGATACCAGTGTAGGGTGATGGTTGAGATTTTGTATCAACTGGCTGGGCCAAGAGTCTCCGGCTTGACATTTCTCTACAGATGTAATATGACAGTTGTGCATGCAGTCATTCCCCGTGATGTGGTCTGATGTGATCAGCCCTGGTCTGAAGTAAGGGACTCAGGGTGGGATATGTCATTCTTACTCAGGTCATGGTCCTGATTCCATGTATTGGGAATTTCCTCAAGGGTGTGGCTTGCACTCAATATATATGAGTTCCTGGCACAGCTCTCTAGCTTTTTTGCTTGCTCTGGATCCTGCAACTGATCTTTTGTTCTTGGTACTTGAGATACCATCTTGCCATTCTGCCTGCCGATCTTTGGTTTGTCAATGCCCACAGCTTGCGAGCCAGCAGCCTGCTATCTGACCTGCAGTTCTTGGGTTCATCAGTGAGAATGCTCCTTAGGAGTGAGAATGTCAAGACTTTGTCTCTTGTACTTTGGACATGTTATCAGGAGGACCTAGTCCCTGGAGAAGGACATTATGCTTGGTTAAATAAATATGGGCGAGGGGGACAGTCAGAGCCTCCAAAGGCATCAAACTAGAGTCAGAACCTTCCCAGTGGCCTTCTTAAGAGAACTTCTTTATGACCATTATGTGGCATTTATAAATGCTTTAAATCACTCGTGAATGCTTTATCCAGAGTCCTGGTGTGGTGCTGTGGGTTAATGTGCTAGTCTGCAAATCCATTTGAACTGCAAGGTCGGTGGTTCAAGTTCAGCAGCTGTTCCTCGGAAACCCTACACAGGGCCGCTATGGGTCAGAACTGACTCGATGGCACTTAACAACAACAACAATGCTTTATCCTTAGACTTCTGGGACCCCATCTAGAATACATCTACTGTTGGCCCCTCGGGCATCGCAGAAACATCTCAGTCTCACAACTCCTCTGGGTAGCTATTCCCCACTTCATTCACAGCTGTACAAACCTCCCATTGAAAGTACTGAAAACTACACATGCCTTTGAATCTCTTACTTCCGGCTTGGTGGAGATAGACTATAAAATGTTTTGACAAGAGATCGGGGGTGTTGATGATGCTGGTCTTGGCACTTTGGGGGAGCAGTCATCACATTTATCAACAAATATGTTAGCAACAGATGGAAACAGGAGTCTTTAGAATGAGCCTAGTTAATGAAGAAGACAAATTCACACTAATGGAGGGATTGCCTGTGTTAGACAGCCGTGGTTGGGTTGGTTCCAATTCAACAGAACTAAGCATTACCTAGTCCCTTGTCATCCTCACAGGCACTGCCATCTTCCAGTCTATCATGCAGCTATTGTGTCTATCCAATCTGCTCTTTTAAACCACACAGTGTGTGATATTTTGTTATGGCAGCCAACAGAAACCAATATACTAGAGAACCAAGTGTCACATCCCCGAGAGCTCATACAGAACACAGGGGCCCAGACAACTGAAGCAGGACAGTTGATATTTATCAAGTTCTCCAGGTGATTCTGATAAGACCATATCCTAAGAGTCATCAACTTAGAGAGCCTTACTATTGAAAGTATGAAGTTGTCAAGGATTTCATTTTACTTCAATTCACAATCAGCAGCCCGGAAGGCAACAGTCAAGACATCAAACAACATATTGCATTGGGTAAACCTTTAAAGAATCAAGATAGGACTTTGAGGAGTAAGGATACGTTGACCAGAGATACGGTCTTTTCAGTCACCTCATAAGCACATGAAAGATGGACAATGAATAAGCAAGACTGAAGAATTGACGCCGTTGAATTATGGTGTTGGCAAAGAACATTGCATATTCTATGGACTTCCAGAAGAACAAACAAATCTGTCTTGGAAGGAGTACAATCAGAATGCTCCTTAGAAGCCAGGATGGCAAGACTTTGCCTCTCAGACGTTGGATAGATCAGGAGAAATCATTCACTGGAAAGGATATTGTGCTTGGTAAAGTGGAGGTTCAGCAAAGTAGAGGAAGATGGATAGACACAGTGTCTACAATGAGCTCAAATATAACAATTATTGTGAGGATGGAACAGGACCAGACAATGAATGGTTTGATCTGTTGTACACTATGAGTCAGAATTGGTTTGACAGTCCCTAAAAACAACATTCTTCATTCTTCTTAGATCAACCATCAACACTCAAGGAAGCATCAGTCAAGAAATCAAACAACATATTGCACTAGGCAAATCTGCTGCACAAGACCTTTTTAAAGTGTTGAAGAGCAAAGATGTCAGCTTGAGGACTAAGGTGCACCTGACCCAAGCCATGGTATTTTCAATAACCTCATATGCATGCGAAAACTGGACAGTGAATAAGAAAGACCGTAGAAGAATTGATGCTTTTGAGTTATGGTGTTGGAGGAGAATATTGAAAGTGTCATGGGCTGCCAAAAGAACCAACAGATCTGTGTTGGAAAAAGTGCAGCCACAGTGCTCCTTGGAGGCCAAGATGGCCAAACTTAGTCTCTCATACTTTGGACATATTGTCAGGAGGGACCAGTCTCTGGAAAAGGATATGATGTTTGGTAAGGTGGAGGTCAGAGAAAAAGAGGATGACACTCAGAGAGATGGATTGGCAAAGTGGCAGCATCATGGGCTCAAGCGTGGCAACGATTGTGAAATTGGCAGTATTTTGTTCTGCTGTGCATAAGGTAGCTATGAGTCAGTACCAACTCAATGGCACCTAACAACAACAACAGCAACACTCTAAGTATGGTCCACGAACCAGCAGCGTAGGCTTTACTTGGGAGCTTATCAGAAACACAGAATTTCTAGACCTGCCTGTGCCCTCCCGCATCAGAATCTGCATTGTAACAAGCCCCCGGAGAATCTGTATGCACAGAATCTGGTGCAGTCCTTGCCGGAAGACTTAGAGGGTTATCAGTTACTTACCTTCAGCTTGTCAGCTACACACGATCTCCTTTGATTCTCAGGGCAAAGTTGGGAGTAGGATACCATTTTGCTTATTTTACAGAGGAAGACATTGAGGCTCAGAGAAATGAGTGACTTTTCCAGAGTCACGTGCTTGATATTGGGGACCCAAGGTTTTCCAACCCTAGACCTCATACTTACCCCCACTACTGCTGTTTGTCCTCATACCAGAATGTGAATGACGATGTTTTCAGACATGATACTATCAAATATGTTGGATTCAACTTACCATGGTAGGTTGTAGACAAGGACATTTACACAGTTGTTCATCCATCAGGGTTGAAGCAAAACCCATTTTCTACCCGTTGGTGTGAAGCCGATCTGACTTATAGCAACCCTGTAGGATGGAGTCGAGCTTCCCCATGGGGTTCCAAGGCTGTAATCTTGATGGAATCAGACTACCTCATCTTTCTCCCATGGAGGGAGCAGTTGGTGGGCTCGAACCGCTGATAATTTGGTTAGCATCGAAATGCTTGATTACTGTCCACCCTAAAATCCAACTCAGCACCAGCCCCACTCCCCAGTGATGGTCATAGCCAGCTTACCATGTTCATCCAGTAGGATGTTGTCGGGTTTGATGTCTCTGCAAAAGAAAAAAAAAAAAGCACAGACTGTGATTTCCGGGGCTGACCCATGAGTACATAGACAATCCCTGTGTTTTAGGTCAAATCCCTGCCAACACCTGTGAGCTTATCTCACCCCAGGGTGAGGTCCTCAGATAGGAAGCAGGAGATGGATGATAGGGAGAACCTCTCCTCTTCCTTCTCTTTCTTGGAATTGTTTGGGATCTCATCCCTGGATAGTCTAACAGTTTCTGACCTTTCAACTCCCATGACAATAATCACAATGTTGTTTCTAGGTGTCATTGAGTTGCCTCAGAACCAACTCATGTGACAATAGAGCTGCCCTGCAGGCTTCTCTACTCCATCAGCTTTAAGCAGACGACCAGCTCGTCCTCCCTAGAAGCCGTTGGGTAAGTTCAAACCACCAACCTCTTGGTTAGCAGCCAAGTGCTTAAGCATCAGACCATCAGAAGCCCATAGTGATGACAACAGTGGTCGCAGATGTAATGACCGGTGCACACTTGGTCCAGGTCAACGGGTGTAGGCTCTTTCCCACCCCGGTGTTGTTTAACCCTCCCCAAATTGCCGCACTAGGATGTCAGAGTCTCCATGTTACTCATCCAGGTCTGATGTCAGCAACGTGAGGCCCGTGGGCCAGATCCTACCCTCAGTGTTTTTCTGTATGACCTGTGAACTAGCAATGGCATATTCATCTTTAAAGGACTGTAAAATAAAACAAAATGAAAAGAGCCCCCCAAATGCAGGAAGGTCTTACAGAGAAGCTAGGTGACTTGCAAATCCAAAATATTTATTGTCTGTCCTGTTACAGCTTGAACTATGTGTCTCCCACAAAAGAAAGCTGTGGGTGAATGCGCTGGACTGCAAAGTTGGTTTGAGCCACAGGGTCGGTGGTTCAAGCTCACCATCTGCTCCTTGCAAATCCTATCTATACAGGGTCGCTATGGGTCGGAGCCAACTCAATGGCACTTAACAACAATACCTATGAATGTGACCTGTTTGGAAATGGGGCTTTTTTGTTGTTGTTATGGTGGTTGGTGGTTATGTACCCTGGAGTTGGTTCCTACTCATAGAGACTGTATATAGGGTTTCTGAGGCTGTAAATCTTTACAGGAGCAGAAAGCCTCATCTTTCTCCCTTAAAGTGGCAGGTGGATTTGAACTGCTGACCTTGCAGTTAACAGCCCAATTCATAACCACTATACTAGCAGTGTAAGGTGGTACTGTGTAAGGTAGATCCTAAACCCAATCCCTTCTGTGTTCATTGTTAAATGCTGCAGAGTAGGTTCTGACCCATAGTGACCCTGTATGGGGTTTCAGAGGAATGGCTGGTGGGTGTGACCTGCTGATCTTGCAGTTAGCAGTTCAGTGCTTATCCTACAGTGCCACACTGGGACTCCAGTCACTTCTCTGTAGTGTTGTGTAATGAAGAGAAAACAGACACAGAGAGACATATGGGTATGGGAGGGAAGAAGGACAGACACCAAGTGTGAGGATCTGTCTGCAGATCAAAAACCATCTAGAAATGCCCGGGGCTACAGAAACAGACTAAAACAAGGACAGACCTTCCGATAGAGTGGACACAGAGAGAACATTGTCCCCTGTACACTCCTGAACTCTGGAACTGTAAGATATTAAATTTCTGTTCTTTAAGGTCAAGAACACTTTAAGGAGTGTTTTTGCTACAGCCATCCTAGCTAACTAAGACTTGGCTCTGTCCAGAGAGAGTGTTAATTTCCTGGGGTAGGGTACCACATACAGTGAGTCACATGCAGCAAAGTCTGGCCCGGAGCCTGGGACTGTCCTGCTCTCCATCCCTGTCTTGGTCTCCTAGAGCTGCTATAACAAAAAGTACCAAGAGTGGGGTACCTTCAAAAACAGACATCTACTTATCATGGTTCAGGAAGCTAGAAATCTGAGGTTTTACTTCGTCGATTTTAGCTTTTAGTAGCTATGGTAACCCTGAACTTGTAGACTCATCTGTACATGTGTCCGTCCTCCTATAGCATCTTCCCCTCCTGTGTCTCTCTGTCTATTCTGTTGTTTGTAACAGAATCATTAGCTTTAGGACCCCCACTACTCCCGCATGGCCTCATGAACATAACAAAGGGAAACCCTACTTCCAAACAGGGTCCTATTGAGAGGCATAACACATATTTTGGGAGGACACGGTTCAATCCTTCACAATTGTCCAAGTTCCCAACCCAGGGGCTCAGCTTTCTTCACCTCTGCACCCCATGCCTGGCACCATGCCTGGTACCAGAGGGTGTGAGGGAAGCATTGGCAAGAACAGGAAGAAAAGAATAAAGCAAAATGAAGTGCAACCTTTGAAAAACTTAACTGACTTATCTAACCCCAATTTTATTTACTTGCACATATTTTCTGAGTACTGTATTAAAACCATAGATTTTAGAAATACATGCCTCACTCTTTTTATAATATATTTCAAATCTGCTGAGGCTAACGAGTGCTTTCTTCCAAATAAAAAGCCATTGCATCTGAGGTACATTTAAGGTTAATTCCACCTGAAAACGCTCTATGGTTATTTGTAACAATGCCATGCAATCAACGGTTATGGGGATGAAAGATACATGAAATCTATAGATATTTAAATATATATACAATTTTGTCTTCATTGGGACTTAAAAAACAAACACCCAACATGAATATTTATAAGCATTCAGTAAACACGTATGCTTCCTGACAGACCCATGAAACATCAATGATGAGAAAAGATAATTTATGGAATCATTTAAGAAGCCTGATTGTCATTGTTCTTATTGTATGTGAGCCAGTGAGTGAGTTCGGATTCACAGCATTTCCAGGAGTGCCTGGTGGGTTTGAACCACCACCTCTGCGGGTAGTAGTCCAGCGTTAATTGTACGAGAGCGCCACACCAGGGCTCAAGGAGTCCCTTGGGGAGCATACATATGAGAACTGGCCCAACAAAGGTAGAAGACCCACAGTCTTCAGAAACTGGATCCCTGCCCATGACATCTCTCTGCAGAACTTCTGGAGAGAAGGGAGAATAAAACATGCGTCAAGAATCAAGATACAGCAGTACTTTTCAAGTCATCCCTTATTATATCACTAGGTCAAAAGTGGTTTGGTGGTGACGTTCCTGTCTCCCATCAGATTGTTGTTGTTGTGTTATGTGCCGCTGAGTCAGTTCCGACCCATAGTGACCCTGTACAGGGTTTCCGAGGCTGTACATCTTTATGGGAGCAGAAAGCTTTATCTTTCTCCCACGGAGCAGCTGGTAGTTTCGAACCGCTGACCTTGAGGTTTGCAGCCTGATTCGTAACCACTACACTATGTTAGATGCTGTCAAGTTGGTACCCACTGCCCTGCCATCGTCATTCTGTTGGAACTGATTGTTGACTCAATCCACCTCACAGACGGTCTTCTTCTTTTTCACAGACCTTCCTTCTACTTTGTCAAGCATCGTGTCCTTCTCCAGAGACTGGGTCCTTCTGATGACTTGTCTGAAGTATGTGAGACAAAGCCTCACCGTCCTGGCTGGTTTGATTCCTGGACCACTGTCCCTCATGGACAGCCACGAGCCATCAGTGGGTGTTGTTGTGAGGTTGCACAGTGTTCAGCAGAGCTTCCAGACTAAGATGCACTGAACGTTAGCCAGTGAAAACCAAATGGACCACAATAGGGCGTTGTCTGCTGCCATGCTGAAAGATGAGCCCTCTAGGCTGGAAGACACTCAAAAGACACAGCGGCCACAACAAGACTTGAGCACACCAACAATTGGGAACAGGGTACAAGATGGGACAACATTTTCTTCTGTTGTACGTGGGGTCACCATGAGTCAGAACTAACTAACAACAAAAGTAGTAACAACCACAACTTCATGTAGGTGGTCAGGGACAGTCTCTCAGGAGAGGTGGTACTTAGGTGTGATTATGTTACATTGTATAAGAGGGCTTCAAAAAATTCTTGGGAACATTCCATTGTTTTTTAATTTCATTTTTTCCCAAGACTTTTAGAAGTCCCCTCGTATATTACTCCATCTTAGCAGACTGGGGGCAGTGAGACCCTTGCCAGGAATGATCCTTGTGGCACAGAGCTGCAGGTGGTGCTAGGGGCTGAGAGTGCCCACCAGCTGACAGCCAGCAAGGGAACGAGGACTTCAGTCCTGCAGCTACAAGGAGCTGCATTTTGCCAACGACCAGGTGAGCTTGGAAGAGCAACCCGAGTTTCAGAAAGGCATGCAGCTTTTCAGTGGATCCTTGTAGATCCACTGAGTTGTAACCTTGTGAATTCCTGGACTAAGCAGTCAGCAAAATGGGGAAATAAATGTGGAGTTCTGGTGTGGCGCTGTAGGAGAAGTGCTGGATCACTGGATTGGTTTAAACCCCAGGGTCGGCTGTGCAAACTCACCAGCTGCCCCTCAGAAACCCTATGTAGGGTCTCTTTGAGTCTGAACTGACTGGATGACACTTACAACAACAAGAGGACCTTGTTATGCACCCATTGAGAATGAATACACGAGCTTGTGGACCATGGGTAACGTACTCAAAACCTTTTCCGAGAATAATAATATCTTCCTCTGTTTCGCTATCCTGAGATGATGAGACAAAATTTGTTCAAGGCTTAGCAAACCCAGCTGAGGAGCAAATAGTGAACATGCTCTAACCAATAGACTGGAGGTTCAAGCCCACCCACAGACACCTGGAGAGAAAGCCCTGCAGAGCGCAGTTCTACTCTGACACACACACAGGGGTATCATGAATCAGAATCAAAGGTTTTGTTTCTTCTAGTCTAGCATAACTCCCGGTATATAAGAAATGCTCAAACAAATGATGGTGATGTTTAAAAGGGCTGCGGAAAACTCAAGGGACAAATTCGTAAGCTTTAAGGGAAGGAAATCAGGCCTCTATTCCTATGAGAATCGTTGGGCAGAATCCTGCAAAGTCGCCAGAAGGAGATAGTGTGTCTGGTCACTTGGGATTGAATAAGAATAGCATTTATTAGCAAAGCATCTTATCGGG